ATATAAAAAAAATCTCCGGGCGGCCGGGTCCAAAATTTTTTTCAAATGTTATGTAAACCAGGTTATTTTATTTGTATCGCCTTAATATAGCTGAGAAATTTTTTTGAGCATTGTTTTGAAGTTAATCCGAGTATTTTTATACAAATAATAATATCAACTTAATTAATTTTAATAAGCAAAATGAGTTTTTGTATAAAATATTTTAATATAATAATTGCAAAAATTGCAATATACTGTATAATAATTAAATTTAGTATTTAAAAATTTAAAATATATATAAAGATGTGCCAACCAGATATTTTCTAACAATCGACACTCTATAAAACTATCTACCTTCGAGTAGCGGTTCTTATTCACATGTAAATCATGATTTTTCCTTATTGATTCAATAACTTATCAAATGAACGTTTGAACCAATAAGGAAAAAATGATTTATATGTAAGTAAATACCGGCAATATTGGTTTGAAGTTTCCCGAATTTTCCGATCGGAAAATGTCGAAGGGTGATTTTCCTAGCAAAGATCCCATATACTAACAAAAAAATTTTTCATAAAATTATAATATAAGTTATAATTTCAGTCACGACCCCAGGTTTTTATTACTTTAAAATTTTGATTGTTTAATTAGTGCAAATTGTTAATCTTTTATAGTCTCACTAGAATAGTTTACAGCGTTGAATATAGTGATAGTGCTCATGATATAATCAAAATTAACAATTAATATAAAAAAATTAATTAACATAATTAAATCTTTGAATTCGAATATATTAAACTTATTTCGTTAATATACTGAAGAATCATCTTCAATATTGTTCTGCTTCGATAGTAAATTGCAATATATTAACTAATAGCAGTATTGTAAAAACTATAATTGACTTAAAATATATATAGAGTATAATACAGAAGACTTTATTTACTGATCACGTTATATCACGTTATCTGTGACTTTTGACCATATCGATCGATATTTTTGCAAAATCATTATTCACCGTCCCTGGTTAAAGTGCTGTTTAAGGCATGTGATGCAGTACGTCACGTGAGGCGAGAAGCAACATATACGGTATGATGTAATCATGTATTTCTTGTATAAGTTTAGAGTTTGAATGGGACATGACCTCTTGTGACCTACTGGCTAAAAGTCATGGCCTTATGACTTACTGTTATGACTTTTTTGTCACATCGATATAATCTAAAATGCCCGACATTGTAAACTTAGGAGTTTATGCTTAGGAAGGAAGGGCCCAGAGGATGTTTAACAAATTTGTTCATTAGGATAACTATAGCTTTATAATTTTATGAAGATAACTAATGTCACAATTATTTAGTGAACCATCGTCATACAATTCTAATCGATGCATGATCATAGTGCTTGAAATTTACCAATTTATCGTGCGAATTGGTAAATTATTTGAAATAGCCAATTTGTCGCGCGAACTGGCGAATTATTGAAATAACATTTCTTTATTAACAAAAAAGTATTCGTGGTTGAAGTGAAGGCTCGGACCACGAAATGAATGGGATTTTTGCTAACAAATGACTCTCTGGACTATGATTTATATGGTTTTTAGGAGTCATTTTGTTAGCAAAAAATCTGAAATAGATGCTACAGCAGTACGTAGTACATTTGCTTGAATCGTGGGATAAATTTTCTAAAAAAGGAATGACGTAATAAAGCATAATAATGATGAAAATGAAGGATGTTGTAAAGTCTCATGATAATAAATTTACGTCATTGCCATGTTGACCTAAATAGCGCATTTGTCTTCTTCCCACAATTAAATCGAATGAAATTTTTTTTTAATTCGTCGAAATAATCGCAATTTTTAAGTTATGACAGATACAAAGAAACCGCAGGAACAAACAGAATCCCTCCCATTTGAAACTGGCGATGAAACTAGTAAACAAGTCAAGGACAAAGAGAATGATGAAAATAAAATTTCTCCGGAAATCATTGTTGAAGCTGGGGCACGAACTGGTATATTTATTTTATCGTTGTAATAAAAAGAATGTTAATTTTTTACATTCTAGTACAGTACTAAATTTTTTCCTTTTGTTTAAAAAAAAATAGTTGCACTCGTAGATGAAAACGTTATGATGGCCATGCCTGAACTTTTGGAAACAAAACTTATCAACGCGTAATGATCACCAATTCTTAAGGTGGTAGGTGGTGAAATTAGCATGAGTATTTAGGTTTAGATTTTATATCGAATGATATCGATATACCATTTTTGATCCAAAATTTAGGTCCGAATCTACTTCCTATAGGGATTATTGTATAACCCAATTTTTATTCATTCGAAAGTAGTGAAATTTTCATTTCAAGTCATAGTAATTCCAAATTAAAGCTTTTAACAAAACGCAGTATTTATTCTTTACAGATGTATATATATATATGTTTTTTTTTTTTTGTAAACGCAAATGCAAATATTAAAGAAATTTAAAGCATGATACTGTACAGTCAGCTCACTTTATTGTAAATATAATAAATTGAATTTCAATATCGATTTTTTTTAAATTGTGTGTCTTTGTAGTGTTCCCCTGTCCTATAATTAAAAAACGACTAAAGCTAATATTTAGCTGTCAATTTTTTTTGAATAATTGTTGCGGCTGGAAATTTTAAATATTTTAATATGAAATTTTCAAAATTTTTTGGAGTGCATTTTTTTAGCTTTTTTTTTCATGGTTAGATTAGGATTTAGGGTTAGTTTTTATAATGAAAGAGTATAAGTGG